GCTCACAATCCACTGCTGAAGCTCTTTCTCGTATTTTCCTCTGATGCTGTCTGGAACTTTGTACTCAGCGACCTTGTTGCGGCTGAACTGGCGGGTCTTTTTGGGCCCATTTCCACCTGGCGGTCCACACTCTCTCGCCGGAATTGAAGGAGACGTCGAAATCGCTCACTAACGCAAAGGGCTGCACACACCTTTCTTCTTTCACCCAGTTCCACATTTCCGCTGGCGTGATCATCATGCCTCCTAACGCCGGATCGCATCAATCCCAAGTAGCAGGTCGTACCCAAGGGGCCTTTGACGTGCCACCAAGACGCCGACTTTGGCATGACTCCTCCGCCTGTTAGGACCGACACAGTCCCGACACCACAACAGGCCCGGGACACCCCCGTCAATCGTCCGAATCTCGATTTGTTGACTGTTCCATGTCACGATCGATCCACACTAACGACGATCGGGAACATCCAGTGTCAACGAAAATAACATCGTTTACCCTCAACGTACATCGCTGACAACAGGCAATGCCGCATTTATTGACCGAGAGGGGCAAGGGTTGCGACAGCACCTTGTCCCCGGACTCGCTTCCGAGCAATCCTGTGCTACATGGCCTAACTCTTTGCAGCGATAGCAGCGTAGTCGTGCTCGGTTCCGTCTGCTGCTCCCTCCTCCGTCACTTCGCCCGCAGTCCCTTAGAGAAATGGTTGGGTCCACCGCGCTTGTAGCACTTTGGGCCCTCCCTCGGTGTCTCAGGCGTTCTCACGGCTGCCGCGATCTGTTCCGTGTCCTTCAAGATGTTTCGGGCCCTGGCTAGCAATTTGTCAATTCCCAGTGTGTCCAATCTTGAAGACGCTTCGCAGGGAGCCGACTGGTGTCGCCGGAAGCCCTGCCAGGAAGGCGCACCCCAGTATGCGGTCTGTTGCTCCGCCAAACGGTACTGCCAGCTCGCAAATCAGCCAGGTAAACATCCACGGTCTCACCCGGCTCGAGCCGTCGTCCGACGAACTGTTTCCAAGCGATAAATGGATCTATTCCAAAGGCCGTATACAGGGCATCCTTTTATCTCTTCTAGGTCAGCATCGTCCCCGAAGTTGTTGATATACCGCGTAGGCTCCTCCCGTGAGTCTCAGTGGGATGACTAGTGCAGGTTCCTTTATTTTGGACACCCTGCAAACACGTTCGGCCTTTTCAAACCATTCGACGATAGTCGGGCCCGGCGGGGGGAGCCGTCGAATTCTGGGATCAACTTTAGATCGAACTTGTCCATTGCCGAAATAGCTTGTGGTGTGTAACTCAACAATTCAACTGATGATAGCAGGTAGGCACAAAGAAAAACGTGTCGCACGTCCAACCTTCTCACGAGCCGAAAGCCTTCCGATTGAAACAGCAGAAACGAGCCTGCTTTTATACAGCTGCGGACCGACCACGATTTGCATGCGAATCACGAGGGCAACGAGATTTCACGTTAACTGACCGAGACCGCTGGCATAAAAACGCTGGCGCCGCCATTTTGGTTTTCTTTTTTACAGTTGGAAGGACCAGAGTTTACATACTGCGCAGATTCGAACGCGTTTCCGAGGTAGGCCATTTTCACAATTTTCCCCACAGCTTTATTGATTTTGACACTGTAACATGTGGACTGAGCAGACACATACACCGGTACACTTCTTCATTATCAGATATTGGTAGCTGATCTTTCTTCTGATCCAACACAAACTATCCAGTGGAGAAAAAAACTGGTTAATTACATTCAATGCCTTGAAAACCAAACTAGTTACATTCCACCATCATTGATCGGACCAATACTGCCAATCATCATGAACGGATATCCCCTTGGAGAGGCACCATGTTTTGAGATATGATTGGGTCTTATATATGAGTCATTACTAAAGAGGCAGGGAAAATGGTTAGCTCCCTGTACTGCTCCAGTAAGTACCAGACTCCACATGCTCTACTCTACTTTTACAAGAGCGAGATCAAGCCAAGAATGGAGTACTGTTGTCATGTTTGGGTGGGAGCTAGACAGATTGCACTTTCCAGCTTCAATAGAGTCCAAAAGCATTTTCAAGTCCTTGTAGGTGACAAATTATTTTCCAGCCTTCAATTTCTCTCTCACAGGCAGGATGTGGCAAGCCTCTTGCTGTTTATTCGCTACTTTCATGGAAAGTGCTCAGATGAACTACATTCCTTGGTTCTACCAGGTCTAACCTTCACAGCAAAGACCAACCATGCCACTTACATTGTAGCAAATTACCCACATACTTCTGTATTCCATTGGTAGGAATTAAGTTCCACTCAAACACTCAAGAGGATGTTCCCCAATCTCTACAATCTTAACCTGTTCAAGTCTAGGGTTAACCATTACCTTCCTCTCTTATCTGGACAAACTGCCTCTTAATGTAACCCTCTATCTCAAGTGACCCCTGGTCCTTGTACAGGGAGAACTTTACTGTAAAAAAAAAAACAAAAAAACTAATCACTCTTAGAAATGTAACCAATTTGCCTCCATTTTTTA